GATTCTGTGTTTGTTTACATTTTAACCAAGGGTTTGATATTGCACCAAATGACGCACCCACTCAATCAGTCCATTACAAGGGTTTATTTTTAAGTTTCTTCACGAAGAAAAAAACTTCGTGCATGGGACCCGAAGTTGAGGTCATATGGATCTCTGAAGTTTTTGGATCACGCATCCGAAAACTTGATGTCCAACTGCTAAAGTTCGGGTCAGACTTCTGAAGTACCCACTTCGGTATGTACCGAAGGGTTCAGGTCACACGTGTGAAGTATTCCGGTACATACCGAGAGCTTCAGATATCTGACCCAAACTTCGACAGTTGGGCTTCAAGTTTTCGGATGCGTGATCCGAAAACTTCGGAGATCCATATGACCTCAACTTCGGATCCCATGCACGAAGTTTTTTTTTCCGTGTAGAGACTTGGTTATAGGTGGTTGAGAGTCGATTACTCAATTGGGATAGAGCTTGATCCATTTACGATTAAGATCCTTCGAATGTCTATTCAGGACAAAAACAATTTTACAAGACAAAAAGAGAAGTTTGGTCGGTGAATGCGCAAAGGACGTGAATTTTAGTCCATCTGGAGACTTTAACGCGTGGGATGTTGAAAGTCGATTCCTTTGATTGGAGGACGATCCATTATGAGTAAGAACATCTGGACGTCTGTTCAAGACAAAATAATTTTAAGAGGAGCTTCTTTGGTGGAGTACTATGAATACGAAAAGCTAACGAATCTACCCTACCTGGAGACTTAAACGCGTGGAATGTTGAAAGTTGATTCCACAATTTAGACAGAGAAGGATCTAAGATCTAAAGACCACAAGAGAAGTCGCATTCAAATCAAGTGCTTAAAAATAAAATACTCGCTAACTTGACTTGTCATCTGTTTTTTCCGAGACTTTTCTTGTCTCCACCGGTAGCTGCACGCACAGTGCACCTACTACATGTGTAATTTGACTTCCCTTCACCGTATCTTTGACTTGCCACATGGCAAATTTTAACCGATTCTGAATAATCAGTCTGGATTAATCGGCCTCTGAAACTTTTATAAGAATGAAAACATTGTTAATACATTGTCACAGATGATAAAAGCCGATTAGAATAGTCAGTCTGACGTGGCCATTTAGATTACCACGCTATTTTATCCACCAATAAATATGACATGAGCGTTCTTATCGAGCTTTTAATGATGTGCGACAATCGAAGGGAAATCTGCGAGAACAATAGCTCGCGGTTAAGAGATGGGAAAGAGTCAGTCAAATTTCTACCACGGCTTCAATGCAGAAATCTCCAGTTTGCGAGGAGAGAGCGTGTATGTTTTGATCCCGTAAACATTTGCATGAAACGTTTGCTGAAAGCGACGCGGGGAGCAGTTTTCCACCGGTGACGGCAGGGAGCGCTGAGTTCGCGAGCGCGAAGAGTCAAACGTAAACAACGTTTACATACTAATTAGTAAAACTTGGAATAATAATGTTCTTATAAATCTCGAAGAGAGCGCCGAACACCAACAGAAGCAGAGCCCGGGAAGGGCTCACGAAACTCCCACGAGATTTCACTTTCGTTTCTTCTCTCCTGACTCTCCCCTCTCCCCCACTCCTCCATAATCGTCGCCTAACACCTTTGCTTTGCTAATTTTGAAACGTGTGCAATTCTGCAAGTTTCTTTCGTTAGTTTTTTTCCCGCAACCGAAGCTATTTTGGTGTTGCCGATTTAGTGAAAACTGAGTGTATCGATGATCAAAATGTGATTCCACGTACCTCCATCGCGGCGTTTCAAAATTTCAGCTCTTAGTTTCTTTAGTCGAGGGGAAACAGGCTAACTTAATTGCTTAAAAACACGGAATATTCTGCTAATAGGGAAGAAAAATCTAGGAAGCTCTCACAAAATTACGTTGTCTTATTTTCCAAAGAAAAAATGAAGTATGACAGGAAATCTGTTACGTCGCAAACGCCAGAATAATTGGAGATAATTGGTTTTGCACATTAGACATAGATATGTACTTACCATTGGATTAGGTCCTCTTTTAGCCTCTCATGTAATTTTAAAGATGAGACGCCGTTCCCTATTATTATAATTTGTGAAAATAAAAATAAATCGGACATGTACTTGCTCACTGAAAATGAGAAATGAAACGTCGTAAAATATGAAAAAATTAAAGAGAAGGGAACGCAAGTTACTGGATGCTCGTTCCGCCGTAGCACCTCCATCGGGAAGTCATGAACAGCAAAACGTCTATAATAGTGTTCTCACTTCTCAGATCGTGAGCTTAGCCAAAAAATCGTCACATTGCCTGAGCATAGTTATTTCCTCAACTCTCTTCTCATAACAAAAAAGCGCAAGGTTGAGTGCTCCTTCATTTTAAAGGTTATGCAATTGGGCCAGCGTGGAAGTCATTACAATCGTATCACACCTTTTCCTGATAGCGCGCGAGTTTCATTGATTTTAGTTCACGATCAGAGCTTTTCGAATTGATTCGAAATATTTCTGTCGGTCAGAAAATCGTATCTCCATAATGGAAATAATGATTTCAATCCAAACTCCAAATTCATTTTTCCAGTATTGAAAAGAGATGTCTTCAGATTCTTGTCAATAAGTGAGGAAAATTTATGAACTTTTCAAGAAAAACTTCTCAAAAAAGCACCCGGGACGGACAGAATGTCCATATAGCCCAGAGCTTTTGTTTTCAGTGTAGCGGCGAACCATATATACAGAAAAAGCATTGGATTTCGGGGCAAAATTTGACAACAGCAAATCCTCTGAGGATTTGCTCGTCTTCCTTACGCACAATAATTCGTCTTCTTTTTATCGCACTCGAATCGTGGGCTGCAAAAACGCATCGCTGCAGCCGCCGGCGAAAACGCGCACTCACACAAATGGCGCGGCGCCCTGCATTACTACGACGACGCTCGCTTGCAACAATCCTATCGTCTTCGAATCAATTCTTTTTATCTCTCTCTCCGACTCCTAATTCTTTTTTACGACTCCCGCGCTGCCGTGCTGAGGAAGAACGCCGTATGAACATCCGAGAGTTGCCAAATTTTCCTTGATAAAACATGTATTTTTGACGCAATCTAAGCATATTTCTCCTCGAAGTTTTCAAATATTTTACAGGGTGACTAGCATCAGGATTCTCCAGATTTTTCCGACCTATCAGGATTTAATCCCGATTTCATCAGGATTTGATAAAAAAAAAATCGGTCGTAAAATCAGGATTTGAGAAAAGTCGGCCGTCCGATCGAATTTTTTTTTTAGCTGTGAAGCTAAAGTTTCTCCGCCAAAAATCAGGATTTAGCAGTCAAAAATCAGGATTTCATTGGGACTCTCCCAAATGGAAGAAACTAGACTCCCTGTTTTAGATTAAATTGCGTATTAAATTGACTGAAAATTTTGGGCGGAAAAAACATTTACGAGTATATTCTGTTTTTATCGAAGGAAACATGGCAAAGTCTGAAGGATCATACGGCGTTCTTCCTTAGCACGGCCGCGCGCCTCTCTCACTTCCTCGTACCATGAGCGGTGCGCGAAGACAATCACTTTTCAGGTTAATGTATCCCTTAGCCGATATTCGATTCGCCATAAATCAAAGATGTCGATACCGACACCTCAATCGGCCCCGATGATGCAGGAAATTAAGCAACGAGCCCATTGTATAATTTCCCCGGCCGACCTAATTAGCCTCTCGTAATTTAACTAACGAGTACTAAAAAAATATATTTCGACCTGGATTCGACGGAGGCTTTCTTCGTAACGTTCGAGGCGAGTTTTTTCTCTCTGAAATCCGGTCCTCGCAAATTGATTTTTCTTCGATGTCAGGACGAGGGTATAATCATCTTTGACAAATTGCAATCGTGAGCCTTATTGCGCTGCCACCGCACGCGGGAGAATTGGGGCGTCGAGGAAGATGAGCGGACCCACATAATACTCGAGTGCAAGTTGCTTAAAATGCGAAAACCCCCTCTGATAATTGCGCCATCACTGTCAATGAACACTTAAATGGGTCGTCTTTGTGTGGAGGATTCGAGGAACTAACCGGACGAAGCCTTTCTTGTGTCCAGGTTTTGAAAAGTTACCCTTTAATTAAAGTAAACAATAAATTACAATACTGTCCCGGAACTCACTCCCTCGGAACTCTCAGTCAATATCCTGAAATGTTCAAAAAGATCATGCCATACTTATGAATTTTAAGATGTATATACACCTTTGTGGGGAATTACTTTTTTCTGTTTCCTTCTTCTCCTCCTCCTCCCGCCATATCTTACCCCTCCTCTTCTTCATCATCTCCTTCTTTTCCTTCTACCTCATCGTCTTCTTTTTTGTTCTCTTTTTCTTTTACTCATTTTATCTTTTTTCTTCCTTTTCCTCTTCCTCTTCTCGTTTTTCTTATTTCCCCTCTTTTCCCCCATCTCTCACTTTCACCTTGTCCGTTACTGAAACACACGATTTTTTTGAGAGGTGTAAAATGAAGGGTAGGTGAATTAAGGTCAGATGTGCCTCGAATATTTTGACCCATATGTTACGAAGACTTAATTTTAAACGTTAACATATCATATGATGACAAAATTTCTCGTCCACCATCTTTTGTCATCATATCGAGTCAATTTTGACTCTTGTAAAATTATCAACTAATTTGGAAGTACCATCAGTGGCTCTTATACACCGACCCTGCAAATATTCATCAGCAGCATTCTAATAGATCATCCTAGATAGTGTGTCCGATATATATTCAGCTTTGCCACAGTCAGGGAAAATGACGAAAGTGTCAGGGAGAAATTGTTAGGTCATCTATATTTACTTTTTAGAACGGGTTTGACGTTTCGAACAACAAATTTTGCCCGCAACACATTTCTATTTATGTCTTTTTAACCATCTGGCATTTCTTTATATCAGGGAAATGTCAGGGAATTTAATTTTCTAAATTTTGTGGCAACTCTGTGTATTGCTGACGTATCCTGGAGTATAATTGGACCGTGGTTAATGTTCTTCTTTCTCTTTTTTTCCAGAAATTTGGGAAGGAGAGCCATGTGAAAGAGGAGCTCGAGGACAGGATGGCCCCGACGATAATGCAGTCGGACAACTACCTATCAGCGATGCCGCCTCTCTCGGCACTGTCGCCTCTCTCGGGGACCGACTACTGCGGAGGCGGCGGCGGCGTGGGCGGAGGGAGCGCTCTCTTCAAGTCCATGAAGTACGCGGAGACGTGGCTCAACTTGACCGTGGCCGAGCGGGGGACGCCCGGGCACCGGCCGCGGCCCAAACTCCTCATCAACGACCGGCCCCCGCCCCCCTTCTTCCTGCCCGCCAACCTCTGCACCTGCCCGGACTCGGGCCGCAACACCAGGAGCAAGAAAGCCACGTGCTCCAAGTGCAAGGGCCAGCGCATCAAGTTCCAGCCGGAGCCCGCCAAAAAGACCCGCTCCGCCGACCAGTTCTACTCCGTCCGGATCCCCAAGCAAGCCCCCAGCCGGAACCCCATCTTCCGCTACGACGTCGACTTCTTCGAGGACCCCTACTCGGTCATGCGCCGGTGTCGCTTGCAGTCCCCGCCCAACGAGAAGCCCCTCGAAAAGTCGAAGAAGTCCAGAGCCAAGAGCAGTAGTCCCCCAAGCCGCCGGAAACGGAAGGAAGAGGAGACGCTCATCAAAGGGAACCGGTGCCCGTCTCCGGACGAGATTTCCAACCGCTTCGAGGACTACGTCAAACAGAAGGAGAAGGAGAACCAGATCCTCAATGGAGGTGGCCGGAGGTCGATCTTAGATTGTAGTGTCAATGCCTACGAGCTCATAAGACTGAAAAACGACAAAGGCAACGATTCGAGTCGAAATAGACCCGCTTCCAAATTCAATACCCTCACTTCGACTTTGAACAAAAACAAACTCATCAATAGTATCCTCAACCGCAAACCTTCGAGCGACGAAGCGAAGAAATCTAGTCCTTTAGGCGTTAAAATTGCCGGCCAAAGAATCAACGTCTTCGACGAGAGTAAGCCGCGGATCGACCCCGTCCACGATCGGATCGACGAGTTCGTCTACGAGTCGGACCACACTACCGATTCGTACGAGACGGTTTGTTTCAACGGGTATCAAGGCCCCGTTAAGAATGGGTACCATTCGAGCCAAGAGAGGCTGTCGCCCGTGAGGAACGGGTACTCGACCAATCAGGAGATCCCCGTTAAAAATGGGTACTCGAGTAGTCAAGAGGCAATCTCATCCTCCAGGAACGAATATCACGACCAAGGGTTGGAATCGTTCGGTCATAGGAATAGTCGGAAGGTTTCCCCCGTTAGAGGAAGACATCGGGACAGTCAGGACGCACCCATGAAGAGTGAGTACCAAAATAGTCATGAACTTGAAAGGGAGCGGTACCCGAGTAAGGATAGGCTGTCTCCCGTACGTCCTCCAAGGAGGACCAAAGGTCAGGGTGACGAAAACGAGAGCCCGACGACGGAAACGGTTCCTCCGCCTCCTCCCGCACTCCCTGAAGTCCAGCAGGAGACCCTGATCGTCCCGAAGAACCGTGTCAATTTCGATCTGAAGCATGATAGTTTCAGCAATAAGAACAACACTCTAACATCGTCTACTTCCTTAGAAATCAAATCCATACTGAAGAAACCGCCCAATTTCAATAATCTCTTCAATTTCAATAGCATTCTCGCCGAAGATTCAACCCACTCTCACGAGAGGGAACAAGAACAAGAGAGGCACGAGAATCCGCCGCAGTCGGCCTACCAGTCGACGGTGATCGTTCTAGATGGCTCTGCCGCTCAGGTCGATGCCAAGTCTACGAATCTGAACAAGAAGAAGAAGCAAGTGCAGTTCAGGGAGAACAAGGTCGAGGTCATACCCAGGAGTCCGGAAAAGCCGGACGATAAGACGAAGTTCAACGCGGCGATCGAACAGCCCACGAGTTCGAGGCCCGACGAATCTGTGACAAGACAGCGAACGGAAAGTGATCGGACGCCCGATGATGATCTTAAGGGTCACTTTTCTGCACCCGCTGCTCGATCCACCGTCGAAGTCGATTCGACCACCCGAAGCACGGATGGAATCAACATTTCTCCAACGGGTGAGTTTCCATCGTATTCTATCCTCTTTTTAAGTGTAATAGGTTTTAGAGCGCGCTGGGTACGCAGCATTCATCTTTTTTTGTAGGCGTTACACTGTTACCGCACTGGAAAAAAACACACATTGGATATAGAGTCCAGACTCTTGAAAACATTGACAAGAGAAAATACTCTTGATTCAATCGGATTTTTGCTTGAATCAAAACGAAATCCGCTTAAATTAAAGAGGCTTGGTTCTTGATTTAAGCTAGATTCTGATTGAATCAAGAGTACTTTTTCTTGTCGATGTTTTTAAGAGTCTGGACTCTGGAGGATCAACCTGGGTGTCTGCAAGTCCGGAATTTCCGAAAAGTCCGAAAATAGTACTGATTTATTTAGGGCTGTCTGGAAGTACTGAAAAAGTGCGGAAACTCCGCAAGAAGGTGCGGAATTTTTATCATTTTTGTCGCCATTTGAGCGAGAAATTCAAATGAAATTTTTCGAATTTCGTCAAATGAAGGTACTGGAAAAGTACTGAATTTTTCTGTTGAAGAGGTACTGAATTTCTTGGGAATGTGCTGATAAAGTACCGTAAAAGTACTGATTTTTGGCCAGCCTGTTTTAGTAGACACCCTGCTCTTCTCATCCCTACAGAATTGTATAATGTATAGTCTCCGAGGATTTTAAGGAGAAGACACTTGAGGTCTCTAAAATAGCGCATTATGCAATTGGCAAGACTCATACCTATAGTGCCCATACAAACCGTGTGGGCTTCAACTTGAGCAGTTCAGCCATATATACGTGCGTGTACCACAGCTTTTTTTCATAAAATAAGTACCTCATATGCATAAGCCAATGCTTGAAAACAATGGAGCAGACGCACACTCACAATCAGCATAAAACGTAGGCACCGCGAAGCGTAATGTGGGTCGCAAACGCAACGCGTTGGTCTACGTAGAAGACCCCTGTAATAACTCATGGCGGCAGATCAGTGAGATGCGCTTTTACCTAGATCCCTATTCTTCTTCTTCTTCTTCTTCTTCTTCTTCTTCTTCTTCTTCCCCTCCTAAATAGGAAAAAAAATGTCGAAAAAGCTGAATTGAGAAAATAAGTTTGGTCATATGAACCGAAAGCACAGTGTTCTACTGGTATATAATTTCTCCGGAACTGCATGCAGTTCCATACAGAACTTACGAAATTTCAGTTACTCCAGGTTGCGAGTGTTATGAAACGAAAATTTCTCCCAGATTTCATTCCCAATAGTTTTTTGAAAGGATCTCTTAAATTTTAATTCAAGGATCATCTATCCATTTCAATAGTTTTGTATTGATGGGGGAAAAAATTCATTGCGCATACCAAAGGCAAAAATCAAACTCGAAAAAATTAGTTTCACATGGCTATTATGTCCATATCTAAAGTCGAAAAATGCGTATCGAAGATCGCGAAGTTTTAAATCCCCCCTCATGTTTAATTTTTTTAAGTATAGTCTTTATTGAAAAAACTTCCTGTGAATTTTCTTTATTCTATCTGGAAAAAGTTAAATAGTTTTTCTCGAAGAAAAGAAAACATAGTAAGAGATTTTCAAACGTTGCAGTGGAGAAACGCATTTTCGGCATCTTGCTATCGATATACATACCAAAAAAAATGTCCTCCCGTAAAAGAAATGGACAACTTTCGTATTTGAAACAAACGTGAATACCTTGGTTGATTTTTCGTTCAACTTGACTAATTTAATCGGAACAAGGAAGCGTGTGTGAGTATTACGGCAAGTTCACAACCGAAACTTCCAGTCGAAATCACACGCATGTGTGATTCAAGACCCGGGGAACACACGTAACAGTCAGTCTGCCGTTGATGTGGATTTAATGAGGGAACTCTAGATATGGTTGCGCCAAATACTTTATTGCCCGGCGTCGACTAATGCAACAGCCGCGCTTATTACACTCGATTTTCCAGATCAAAAAGATGAGCGGCTGATTTGCATATTAAATTGGGCCTAAGTGAATCATAAGTTAATCGTTCATTCATCGGGGGAAATTTATGTATCGCGTCCCAGTTCCGCTGTCGGAGTGAATGATTTATATCCTGCTGAAGAACTTCAAGGAATACCGCGCGGAGAGCGCCAATGAGCAACGACTAGAGGTGGAATAGAATTTTTTATTTTATCCGACCCGATCAAAATGTACAGTTCCTCCCGAGAGATCAAACCTGCCGTTTTATTCGCAGAGAAGAAATCGCAAAATTGATACAAGAACTTTAGTTCTACTAAAAAAAAAAAATAATAATAATAATAAAAAAAATTTAAAAAAAAACCCACACTGAAAAAAAATATGGTAACATCTACTATCAGTTTATTTGACATTTTACACAGTGATATATACTATTTAGTGGAAATAACCAGAATCATGTCACTACTTACCAGAGCTCAAGTCATACTTACCGTAGTAAGGTAAATGTTACCATAGAGTCTTGTGTTTATTATACCATTTTCATATCACTGTATCACAGTATGGTAGAAGCTACCATATTTTTTTCAGTGCAGCCTGCATTTTCTTAATGACCTACTCATGAAATAAGAATACTACGAAGATAAGAAGACTACTAAGTGAACTAAAGACTTCATCTCACTGATGGGAAAGTGCCATACACAGGTTTCATAGAGGTTTGTTGCAACAAAGGTATAGAAAGTTCCTGTTTCCCATTTTTCGAATGGCCCCTCCGGTTTTGAAAACTCTTATTTTCCTTTCTTTCTTCTTTCTTTTAGCCGTATTATATATTTTATTTCATTTCATTTGCTTAAACATATCAGCAAAATACTGCAGTGCAAACTGATTAGAAGACGCTCTTTGCCTGGCCCTTATATTTTCCAAAACATTGTCTTGCAGCCCTTTTTTTGTGCACGACCTGCCGGAGGGGATCAAAGTTTCCGGGGAACTCAAATGTCGGTAACGGGAATGAGAGATTACCTGGGAATCGTCGGTAGAATTTTCGGGAACGCTCCAGGAGGCTTTTCAGCATCTAAAAGACTCCCGCGTATGTGAGTGCCTTCTGTCAAAGCTTTTCATGGACGTAGAATTTACTGAAGAATCCCCAGGCATGTTTCCTCTTCAGTCTAGCGCGAGAGGCTTACTGGCGCCTACAAACCTAAGTGGATACTTCACGCATTGCACAATGCTTGAAGTATCCACTTAGGTTTGTAGGCGCCAATGCGCGTATCGTCAAGAGTCCCTAATGATGCATTTTGCTCAGTTTCCGCTCAACGTGCGCCGACCGATTTTCGCGCGCAAAGAAGTCGGATTTGTCTGTTACCCACGCCAAATAAAATCCCAGTGACATATCTTCGACGTCAGCCAGGAGGGGCATATTTTCGCACGCGCGAAATTGCCTAAAAATCACGATCCACATTTTTAACATTTCCTCTATCGCACAAGCAGTGCATCAAGAAAAATGACGCTTTTTACTCTCATGCCTCAAAAAGTGTGATATTGTAAGTACCTAATTTTCGCACTTACGAGCCATCAGGAGTCTTATATATGCTGCCTCCAGCGTGTAACGGAGCCCCCGAAATAAAAATTAAGAACATAGTGACCGCACCTTATCAAATAACTCAGGTAATAAGGAAAAGGAATGTACGTCTGCTTTGATTTCGTCGTTAAGTTGTTATTTAATTAGAGGAGCCGATTGACGTCGTCTTACATTAGCGGGCGGCGCGGCGTATCGAGTCACAGGACTATCAAACCGGAGTGGCTCATCTGTATAAAGATTCTCAGTACACGCGGTGTACTATTTAAAGCGAGCTGTCAAAAATGTCCATTTTACTGCTCAAATCGTGCGATGAAGAGATCGTTTTAAGCTGGAGCGATTCAAAATCTGATTTTGATTCTTTTTCCTTTTAGCGGCAGCCGAACTTGACAGTAATTCCACTGACATTATTTCTGCAGAAAATCGTTTTTAGTAATTAAGTGCGCTTACACTGTCAATGAGCCTCGAAGCAAAAGAAGGACTACGATGATATGTACCTAACTGGTTTTCAATGACATTCTCATAATCACCGATTAAATATATCGAGGTCAAAAATGGCCTCGCTCACATTAAACGAAGATCCGAACGTCTTAATAAAGTGTTACAAATATTTAAAGTGGGTATGGGATTTTTTTTTATGAGGGGGAAGTTTTTGTGGAAAAAATACAGTTTCGTTGCATTGAACTTTGCCACAAGGGGAGGGGGCGGGCACGTATTCCTTAGGTGTGACCAATATCATTCTCAAAATATCAATGAAGCAATTACTGTAAAAGTAAAAGTGTTCCCCTTTAAGTTATAAATTGCTCTGCTCTATAGCTCATGTTTAATTAAAATCTCCTCAGCCGCTTACGAACTATTGAAATGAAAGGTAAATTAAAGCCGATCGATGGCTCATCAACTCCAGCAACCGCAAGAAAGGTGCAACAAGTATAGATTGCAGAGGTCCACAGCCGATGAACTGTTATTTCACAGTAAAAAGTGAGCGTCGGTGCATCGAATTATTAAATTCTCGACTTTCGAAGAATTTGATGTCTCAATCTTCTTCCGTTGATGCAATCTTATTCGCGTCCTTTGCAGTTTACTTTCACTCAGCTCAATTACACTTAGCTACACATGTGGCAAAAAAAGGTCCGTCAAGATTATTCTATCACAAGAAACCACCGCGTCTTGTCAAAAAGACACTCGATCAATCTTTGTCGGCTTATAGAATCTATCGAAACTTGTCATTTTTTTTAAGAATCAACCAGTTTATAAAGTCGATGCTTGGTGAAGACGGAACGAAGGTATTTTTTCTTCGAATATTTCACTAAATAATCCTAAGTTTCAATGTGAGACATCTTCTCACATGTTTCATAATACGCCATAAGAGGGTTCCGTTGAACAAAGATTAAGAGGTATGTTCCCTCAATTCTCAAGTTTTGTAATTCGTAAAAAAAAACGTTCTTTCCTGCCTCTGGCTTCCTATAATTACTCTTCAGTATATAACTATTTCTCGTTCAAT